CTGCAGCCTTATTTCTAATAGAGCGTTTATGGTGTTCGGCGTGCATTGGCTGAATCCGTGCATTGGGTGCACGGACACGTTATACTTAATTTGGATTCGCGAGGGTTTGCGCCTACCCTAGGTGCTGTACGAGATATGGCGGATAAGCTACTCGCTAAGCGCAGCGCTGGCCAGGTCGGTTAACTATAGCCGCGCAACTTTGTTAAGCGAACAGATTGCCTTACTACATAATTTAATTAGCCGTACGATCGACAGAGAGCTCTATATAAGGATCTAGAGATAATTAGGGCGTGGTTCAACCTTATAGCGCGTACCAAAGCTACCTACGGTATCTGTAATTAGGATACCTATAATTTCAACAAGACTAGCTTTATAATAGGCAAGATATTATCTTAGCTTGTTATTACAGGTTTAGAGAGACGCGGCAGGCTAAAGGCTATTTAGTTAGGCAATTATAGGTAGACTATAGCAATTTATAGAATTAACACTACTAGGTAGGCGATCCCGCCCTTTATTATCTTCCCTAGCTAGTATTACCTCTCTGCCTGCTACGAGGATAATAATATACTACGCGACTAAGCCTTTATAGTAAGTAATAATAGCTAGACTACTAATAAGCTTAGAGTAGAGTAGCTAAGACACTTTATTAAGTATATAGTAGAGCGTAGGGTAGGCGCGCGCCAGCTACTTATACTTAATAGCTATAAGAGCTATAACTTGCTTAAATTCTAGTAGCTTTGTAAGGAGAATAATATTTATACTCTTTATATACTATTGCATTTATTATACCTTTTATAGCTACTTAATGTAGGCTGCTTCTCGCCGTTAAAGCGCGCGTATAGTCGCCAGATCGAGAGCCTAATGCGCGACTACATTAGCTATATTATAAAGCTAGAGTTCTTACCAGCCTTCTGCGCAGCCTATAAGTAATTAATTACAAAGGAGAATATCTACGCAAGCTTTCGAGGCGCTAGCCTAGTCCCACACGATCTAGAGGCGGTGATATTAAAGCTTAATGTAAAGCTTCGCACGCCTACACCGCCTACGCTAGAGGTTACCCTCTAAGAAGCTAAAACACTAAGCAACGCGCGCGAGCTAGAAACTTAATTAACTTTAATACATAATAAGATTTAAAGACATAAGGGCTTATTACCTACTTCTATTATTATAGCGCTTAATTAGCTTAAAAAGGGCGCTAAAGTAATAGCTTATAAGAGTACGCTTATGCGCGATCGGATCGCGAGGCTTAAATAGGTAAATAGGGCAGCCATATTATAAAGAAAGCGACAAAAGAAGCGGATACAGAAACAAGGCACCCTTACAAAGGCAGAGGCAGAGGAGATTATTGCTTAAAAGGACGTTGAGCAGCAGCTAGAGAGCGAAACGCGTCAAGATAGGGCGCAATTGGGTGCTGGTTAGCAGGCTTCAGCGCGCTGCAGCCGCTGTAGAGAGACTAGGCATAACGCGCGAACGTGTGCAAAGCGTACTATAGATACTACTTAATCTATAACGGCAATTGTATATAATTATTATATCGCGTTGTTGTGTTAAGTCACTATAAAGGCGATGAAAAGTTGGTGGGGTGACCACTCGCTTATACTGACAGCTCGCTTATAAACTATGTTAACTAAAAACGAAAAATGACACCTTAGGTAAAAAAGGGGGACAAAGCATATTTTCTTATAAACAATTTTTAAATTAAAAAAAAAGCATACAAATCTAGATTATATTAAGGTTAGACGATTTCTTTTATTTCTAAATAAATATTACTAGTTAACTACTAATTAGAACTACTGCTAGACGCTAAAATATACCTAGTATTTTATATAGACCAATCAGAACCTGTAGATCCTAAAATACAAGTTAAAATAATCTTCTATTACTAGCCAAAGAACGATAATAAATTTAAAGTTAAATAAATAATTAACTACGCAGGACTACTAGGGAAATAATAAATATACTTAATTAAAGAGAAAGGATACCCGCTTTCGGAAAACATATAGAACCTAGAGAAAAACACAAAGACTTATAAAAAAAAAAACTTAATAACTACTAGGAAAAAGAAAATCGCCTACTAATATAAAGAGAGTTTCAAAGACTTAGAATTCGAATAAGAACTCTATAAAGACATAGCTACGCCGCAGAGGAAGAAGCAGGCTTAGACTAAATTATAAACTAATTAATTACCATAGCGCCTAAGGCAGTATTAAGATTAATTAAGACTACTGCCTAAGTAAGCTCCTTGTAAGTCTTTAAAGTCACCAGCTCATTTATTATAAATATACCATAATTAAATAACTATTATTCTTTCTAACGCAACTTTTTATATTAATTATATAATCGCGCTATCTTCTCTTACGCCAGACGCGCACGTAGGAGCGCTGTATAAGCAAGCTCCTTTTTTAACTAGAAGTTTTGCCTCCTCCTTAACTTATAACTTTTCTAATCTTTCTATCTTCGTATCTATCTTTAAATAATCTAATAAAGGAATCTCCTCTAGCTTACACATCTAATTACTATATTAAATGTAATTTATGCACTTCGAGTATAGTAATAATGAATAATATAGTAACTACTTCTTAGCGTAATATGTAAACGCGACTATAGTAAATACGTAGTTTTATTTAAGATAATTAGCTTATAAATAATAATATTAGGTAGATTAAGAAAGTGGCTTTAAAAGTAGGGAACTTATAAGGATATTAAGCCTAGAGAGGAGAACTAATATTAAAATTTATTAAGATCTAATATAACGTGAGGTAAAGTATTAGAATTTATTTATACGTCTAAGCTAAGAATTCCTAACCTAATTATAAGTTACGTAATAATTTACGAGTCCTAAAAATACTTCAGAGTCCTAAAGTATCTTAATATATAGGACTTTAGGACAAATAGGACTATAGGACCTATAGGACAGGACTTATATATAAGAACGCTAAGTATAGTTCTTTCTGTACTTGTGTTTAACCTTATTTATTAATCTATTATGTAGATTATACTTAGGCTTTTATTAGTTTATTTATAACCGCGTATTACCTTTGATACTAACGTCCTATTAATATGCGTAACCTATTAATAAATCTTTCCTTGCCTTACTAGTACTCTTGCCTAAAACCCAATCTTAGCTCCTTTAGGACTAGCTATCCCTAAGGGACTTAATAGTATATTAGCTATAATATTCGACTGCACATTATAGGGCTTTGCTAGAGTATATATATAGCTTATATAAAGTTTCCTAAAGTTATTATAGTTTATTATAACTTTTTAAGGGGTGTTACTAGGATTTAATATTAATTAAAATACTTTTTTATTTATCGTTTTATAGATTACATGATACTACGTCTATCTTTTTGCTTTCATTTCGTTTTATAGCCTTGGATTACAACATTCTATAGTATGAATAAGTATTAGAATCTATAAGGTATTAGCTATGTTATAAAGAAAACTAATCTAGAGGCTAAAGCCTTGGCAGAGTAATACACTCGCTTGTGTGATACACTTGCCTATATAGTAGGTTATAATAAAGTATATAAATAGTAATTAATAACTATATATAATCATTTATAGCCATGTGGCATAGTGGTTAAATACATGGAAAGCTTTAGTCTTTGCACGCTAAAGTACGTGGGTTCGAATCTCACCGTCGTTACAACCTGTAAAGGAAATATTTAGTTTTGATGTTGGGGGGCTTAGGTGTGGCTGACACTCTGCGTAGTGGCTAGTGCCGTGCAGCGCGACGTAATTAGTAAAGCGTTCGGAATAGAATAACAATCGTACATTGCGTATTAAAGAGCCAATTAGATATCTAGAATTACTTTTTTTTAAACTAATTAGAGGGCTAGAATAGCATCCTAATGCAGACGACTTGGCAAAAGTTGCCAAATAACGTTACTATATAAGTCTACTTCGTTGTTTCTCCTTAGCGGTAACTAATTTAAGGAATTTAATCTGCCTACTAGCCTACTTGTTATATTACTTATAATATGTACATGCTTTGCCTGTTACCTCTAGTAATACATAGCGTTTCTATATACCTTAGTTATAAGAGTTTATTTTTCTTTCTCTACTATCCCTCTTTCCTACGCTAGGACCGTTCCGGCCCTGCACTATTTCCTTTCTAAGTAACGTCTTTAGGGGAATGCTAGTATTCTTTAAGGATTTCCTTAGAGTTTATAAGATAGGATATAATTTTTTATATCGCGTCCTTATTAGACTATCCTAACTATTTAATAAGGTATTAAAGACGTTTTAATACTATCTTATAATACAGGATTTATTTTATTTTATAATAGTTAGCTTCATTATACTCTAGGATGTTAACAGGTCTAGAGTAAAAAAAATTTAATTAAAAAAATATTTACTATAGCTTAAGTAATAAGATAGAGAATACTAAATATATTCGCGATATTAAAGCTAGTAGTTTAAGTAAGTAGGTAAGCTTACTTACCTTTTTAAGTACTTAAAATAGTCCTAGGTATTAGTAGTTAACGTATTAGTCAAGCGAGCGGTCACCCCACTAATCTTTTATCGCCTTTATACTAATCTAACATAACAACGCAATATAATAATTATATATAATTATAATTCTAAATTAAGTAGTATTTATAGTATGCGTTACACTTTTGCGCGTTATATTTAATCTTTTTATAGTAGCTATAGCGTGTTAAAGCCTACTAACTAGTACCTAATTACGCTCTACTTTAATGCGTTTTACTCTCTAGCTACTACTTAACGTCCTTTTAAGCAATAATCTTCTTTACCTCTACCCTTATTTAGGTGCCTTACTACTATATCCGCTTTTTTTTTTACTTTTTATGTATTATAGTAGCCTTATTAGCCTTTTCTAGACTCTTAATTTAATCGCGTATTAATGCGATTGTGTGCAATATCTTTATAAAACCTCTTTTAAGCTAATTAAGCTTCTTAATAATAAAAGTAAGTAGTACGCTTTTTTACTTTTAAAGTTTATTACGAAAAAAAATTATTTAAGTTTCTAGCTTTTACGCGTTACTTAGTATTTTAGCTTTTTATAAAGTAACCTTTAGTAAAGGCGGCGATGGCGTATAAAGCTTAATATTAAGCTTTAATATTACTACTTCTAGGTTATATAAGACTAGGCTAGCACCTTAAATGCTTGCGCAGATATTCTCCTTTATAATTACTTATTTATAGACTATGTAGAAGGTTAGTAAAAACTTTAATTTTATAATATAGCTAATATAGTCACGTATTAAGCTTTTAATTTCGTAGCTATATGCGCGCTTTAACGGCGAGAAGTAGTTAATATAAAGTAGCTATAAAAGGTATAATAAATATTATAATATATAAAGAGTATAAATATTATTTTTCTTATAAAGCTCTAAAACCTTAAGTAAGTTATAGCTTCTATAATTATTAAGTATAAGTAGCTAGCGCGCGCCTACCCTATACTTAACTATATACTTAATAAAGTACTTTAGCTACTCTACTCTAAGCTTATTAGTAGTTTAGCTATTATTATTAATAGCAAAAGCCTAGTCGCGTAGTATATTATTATCTTAGTACTAGACAAAGAAATAATACTAGCGAAAAAAGATAATACTAGCGAAAAAAGATAATAAAGGGCGTAATTACTTAGCTAGTAGTATTAATTCTATAAATTACTATAGCCTATATATAATTACCTTATTAGGTAGCCTTTAGTCTACTTTATTTCTTTAAGCTTATAATAGTAAACTACGCTAATATCTTGCCTATTATAAAGGTAGTCTTATTAAAGTTATAAGTATTTGTATCGGCGCAGGTCACTCAAAGGATCGATGTTGGCATATCTCCTAGCAGAGACATATGGGAGTGCGTGTATAAGAATGTAGCCTCGAATGAATTAAGTGCCTATAGGCCTGGTACGAAAGGATACGGAAAAGGTACTGAACTACAAAGGCCCCAAGCTCCTCTAAATAC